TTATCATTGGCCGCACTCTAAAAACGAGTCCGTTAAAATCGTAACAAAGTTCGTCCGTAACTCAGTTGGTAACAGAGTAGTCAGTAAATCTAAGTAAGCATTCCGTTAATTTAAAAAAAATAATTACGTTAGATTAACGTATTTAAACTAGATAAAGGACTGCCGTACGTAAAGTTAAAAAACGTATTTGGAAAAGAGCAATTTTCCACTAGTCGTAATCCCCGTACATACACGTACCATTATAATTAATTTAATATAAAAAATATATATAATTAGTGCTTCCAATACCGGTACCATTTTTCAATACCGGTATTTCGGTACTGAATAATTTCAATACCGGTAATACCGGTATTAAACTTTTTTTTTTAAATTTATCATAATATGAATAAAATCTCAAGTTAATAGTAAAAATTTCATTGATTCAATAAGCTTATTTATTTTACATCAAAACTACTGATTTTTTCATTTTTCGCTTCTTTCTTCTTTGTAAAATGAGCCCGTAAAAAACATAAGGCGTTCAGAATATCATCTTCAAAAGATAATCTAATTTTGCGACAGTTACCACTTGCTAAAAATCCACGATCCAATTTGAAACTTGTTGGCTTTACAGTTTTCAAGTAATGGTAGATAATTTTGCAAATATATACAATGATTTCCTACTTCTTCGAAAACTGCAATCTCAATAGATATAATTTTTGATGAATTATTTGAAACATTTAATCTTCCCTTGTTGTTATTTTTTATTTTTCAAAAATAAAAAGCCAAGCTTTTCTTTCAATGACAAGTTTACAGCGTTGTCTACTGAATCACTATCGGAAAGAACGCTGGTGGAATGGAGAGGACTATACGCTTTCTGATTGAGCCGATCTTTCAGTTGAGCAATGGTATTTACAATGGCTAATTTGCTATGGTGCTCAAAAGATAGAGCTGGATCCAAATTCTTGTAAAGTTGATGGCCCTTGTTCAGAAAATATTGTATGCTGAAAAAACAGTACGTTGCTCATTGAATCGTCGCACCAACATAATTTTACAGCTAAATCAGTTTCTCCAAGGTTATCTATCATGAAAACGTTGTATCGGCTCACAACAGTGTTGCATAATTTCGGCAAAATGTTTCCACAGCCAGTTTTACTGACAAGACATAAGTTAACAGCTAGTATTGCATCGAACTCCTTATTAGTTACCTCAACTTTGGACTCAAGGGCAATCAGTGACTCGCAAATGCAATTTTTCAATTTTACAAAACGTTCGAGTACTGTGTGCAAGTTAATCCAGCGAGTTTTTGAGCCAAGTATTAGTGAAAGGTCTTTATCAAATTTTTCTAACGTGTGTTTTTGAATTTTGATCATTTTTTGTCAGAGAACGGCGAAATAATTTCACAATAATGCGCACCTTTTTGATTAACGGCTGCAAACCATCAGTCAGTTCAATAGAGTCATTCTCTTCACTCATTACAACTTAAAACCCGCCGGAAAAGTCTTCATCATTATTGGTTTTGTTTGTGTCATCAGTATTTTCTCGTCACTTTCTCAGTTATTGTTGTAATTGCAGATTTCTTTCAAGTTTTTTTTGCAGTAGTTGACGATTTTTTGTACAAAATGTCTTAAATACCTAGTTAAATCCCATGACTAATGCACAACTGTTGATCACAATTAATTAAACGCCATACTTTCAAAATTACGGAAACTTTTCATATTTACGTCAGTGCAAAATTCAAACATGCGTTCTACATTAAAGCGAGTGACGTTATGATAATATTATAAATTGGTGCTTCATTAATTAATAAAAACACGAAAGTAAATGAAATACTTAAAATTTTCAGTCGCGATAAAACAACGCTTCCGGTAGAAAAAGATAGCTAGATAACAAAAAACGTGTTTAAAACGTCTAAAACAAGTATTCTACGTACTATACACGTCTTAAACGCGACTTTTACCCATAGGTAGCGACTAACTAGCTATTCGCTGGCTAGTTGGTAGCTCATTTCACACCGGGCTCGTTTACCTTGTAATGAGAGTACAAAATCATCATCCCAAAAGAGTTTGGGATCGAGAAAATAATAAGTTGTTTTGAAATAAATAAAATAATGCTAAAAATTTTTAATTAAAATAAAACTTGTTTAATTTAAAAGTAAAATTTTGTCATCCCTCTATTATAATAGAAGGAAGAAAAAATTTTACTTTTAAATTAAACAAACTCGAAGCATTGTTTTATCGCGACTGGAAGTTTTGAGTATTTCATTTACTTTCGTGTTTCATGTAAAAATGGCGATAGCACCTGCTATATTATAAGCCCTCTACATTTTTTTAATACCGGTATTTTTTTAATACCGGTATTGAGCCAAACCAAAACCGGTATTTCAGTACTTAAAAATGTCCGGTAATACCGGTATTGCGGTATCCGGTACTACCGGTATTAATTTTACGGACAACTCACTCAGTTCAAAAACAAGGGACTACTCTTTTGAGAATTCCGTTAATTTTAACGGACTCGTTTTTAGAGTGCAGGTTGTCAATATTAATAATGTTTAAAATCTCAGTTGAACTGCTTAGCAACATATGAGCACCAATAATGTTATGGTAA